TTTCTCTCCTCTCCACCTTTGTCCACCTGCAGCTGTCTATTCATATCTTTACATCTTGGGTGTTTCTCAATGTCGAGGAAGGCTGCTCCAGAGCCACTATTTCAAGCATACTACGTCATCAAGTGCCGCCGAAGGACTGTTCCAATGTCCAGCATACTTGGAATTCTACCGAGGCCGGCGTACTTAGTGTCTATCGACCAATTTCCAAATCTTTGGCGGAAATCGCGCTCCATTTAAGGCGGGGCCTCGCATATGATGCACACCTGTTAGCCTGTTCCACAATTCTTCGTTTTCCGAGGCTAGGAAGGATTCTTGCCTCGCTTCTGAAGCAAGTGACTCGGAAGACATGTGCTACCAAGCAAGCGTCCTCGACATTGAGAAACACCCCCTGTTTCTCACGCAGCCATAATTCCATCATGGTAGTGCTCTCATCTCCCTCTATCTTGTATGCTGCGTGCAAGTGTGTGTGATCCCGTTGTGTTGGTGACACCAGGTTTGCCAGGTCGAGTCTCGTCTTAATTATCCAACAGTATGAACGCCACCTCTCCGGAAAGTGTTCCGCTCTCATTAACAGTGGTGTTATCACACTAATTGTGCCACAATGGGGAAATCATGTGTGTTGCAGAAGCCCAAATGCAAGGTGTGTGTGTTTGGGGGAGGAATTGAAACATGTCTAGCGGCCAACATGTGTCTCGTTTTTTAGGTGTGAACCGTGTCACTTGGGTGTCATTCTGAAGGTGGATGTTTGGATTCATCAACCAAATTATAACTTATTTGATTCATTAGATTTCTCCTGAACCGCTGGTGTAAATTATAAGTAATGACCGCACCGCTTCGTGGTATCTTATGAGCTTCGGATGGTGAAATCTTGTTATAGTGTTCTCGCTCTGTGGCGGTCTACAACTCAGGTTCACTTGTGATTAATCTAAACCAACAGAAGGTTGTCAAACGGGACTGTTCTTTATTGCCAATTGCTGTCTGCAAAGACACACACCCACTCTAGGCACACACTCACACATGCACACACTTTATGATTACATCAGGCTAAACTAGCTCGTTTATCATCTTACATCACATTACCTTGTGGCCCATAGTTGTAGAGGGCAGATGGCAGCGCTGGCGCAAGTGTGTGTGTATGTGCTCGGTCTCTGGAGGTGTAACCCGGCTCTGCATGCCAAGCTGTGCCAAGTGCTCACAGCTGGCAGCAACCTAGCAGTTGGTCTCTCTGGACAAGTTGCCCCCTGCGCCAGGACAAACAGGAAATCAGCCCTGCGGCCTGGCAGGAAACTGGCTGTGTGGCCAATGGGAAATGAGGTAAGGGGGAGAATAGAGCAGGTTGGAGAGGCAGGGGTAGCAATAGCATCAGAAGAGATTTCAGTAGGAACAGAGCAGAGGAAAAGCATTGATGTACCAGAAGAGACTCTCAGGGAAAGGTCGAGGTATTAAAAGACATGGCGACGGCGGATGATGGTGGACAGAAAATTGTACCTTAAATTTGGGTTGTAAATTAACATTACCTTTTCATTCTCACTCTCATGCAACCAATATATAGATTTGGAATCAAATGTTTCACAGGTGTTTTCATAGATATATCTGCATGCATGCGATGCTCCTTTACTATGCCTAAAAGTCTGTCGTATGGCGTGCTCTCTTCTGCCAATTTGATCACAAAACGCCCGTCTTCAGAGGCCTACAAGCTTCTTGTTTGCGCTCAGACATGAGCGTTTCAAACCTCTTCTCTTCTCCTGCAAAGGTGAGCTTGTTCCTCTGAAGAACCCCAGAATATAATTTGGTGAAAGGTTATTTTGGAGGCACATCTCAAACGGAACTAAAGCCACTGAGACTCCCGTTCTCCAACGCAAGGCTCACTGAAGTTTGAACTCCCGCAAATTCCCTTGGTTCTTATTTGGGTAACATTTCTACTGAGACATGGATCATTTTCCCAGACATGTATTGTGGCTTGGTCCTTAGTGTGGAGGCAATGCTCCAAAAGTAATCACCAGGAGAATATCTTGGAGGCATTTCTACTGAGGCATGGGTCTAGTGCAAGCAATTAGCATTTCTTCTTTTTGAAGGCGGGTCAACTGAGGACTTTTGAGGCATTCAAGGTCACCTAATGTTGCTTTTTATGTCACCAAAACACACCACATTTTGAAGGATCCTGAAAACTCAACCACATGTAGTGGTATAATAAGACTTAACTCCACAGCTTTGATTATTATATCCTTTTCACATTGAACAGAAAGAGCTGGACCACCTGTCCATGAAAGTGAGTGATGACCTAGCTGTTTCTAAGCACTAATCAGTGCAAAGCTGCTTAGTTCCACCAGCAGTCAAAGGGGGCACTGTTGCATTGTGATCGAGGCACACTGAATCCAGTACCTCCTCTTAGCCTTTCCTCTTGTGTGTCCTTGTTATTGTGATGAGCAATGGCTAATTCCAGTGCGACCACTGGACTCCTGGAAGCCGTCCCTTCTAATCTTCTCCAGAGTCAAGGTCTAGGATTGGGCCGCTGCCCGACAGCGACGCTTTAGCCTCGACAAAGACCGATTTGAGACTTTGGGATACTCGTGAGAGGTGGAGGGAGGGGGAGGGAGGGGGAGGTTCTGTCAGAACGGCGGAGCAGTGGCACTCTCACCACCTCGTTAATCAGCAACGACACCATGCGGAATGCCAGTCAGCCCGTTTGCAATTAATCGTTTCAACTACAAATGTAATGGCATCACTGTTGCCCAGAGAGAGAGGGCTGCATTCATGTGTTGTCATTGTTTTCATTCATCACTATAGAGATGCTATCAGACTAAATACTGACTTCAATTTGATCAGATGGCGGACACTTTTGTCTCTTTGCCGATACGACAGCTGCTCCAACTCGCCATTTTTCTTTAGTTGATTTTGGTTGACTTCTTATTTTGTAGCCCCTATTTAAACTGCGGAGAAATATTTTTGGGTTTTCTATCAGATCGTATCTCTTTATGTTTCCGCTAAAAATGGCTATATTGTACGGTATATCCTGCAGCTGTAATGCATTTTCATTTTCCTTCCGCATCTCTAGAATGAACTACACTGACATATAATCATAATCCAGCCTCTGACCACTTCCATATCTGGTATTACAGATCTTGTGGCCATGCGAGCACAATTTCTGGTCACCTTGATCTACCCAGGTGTGATGGGATGAAAGGTCTCGCTGAAATGAAGGAACCGTAGCCTCTTTGTCTGCCTTCAATCCTTACCTGACTTCAAGCAGACAAGACACTGATGAGAAGGCCTGCATGGCACACACACACACACACTAACACACACATATAGTGCCTAGTTGTTAGTGGCTTTGTAACCCTGGTCTGCTGCCAGCTCCCTGTCTGTCTGTCTGTCTGTCTGTCAGAGCATGCTCATTACAACCTTGACAACATTCCACCAGGGTTGCCAAGGATACCAAACAGAGCTGCCAGGTCCTGTGTATGTGCTGTTGTATTAGGAATGCAGAAACTCACACAAATGCATTGCAAACTACATTTTCTTTTTTTTAGACCACATATAAGCACTTTCCTCTCCGTCTCTCTGGCCCCCTCTCTCCTTTTTCCTATTCTCTGTAGATCATTGTTAATCAGTCTCGTCCCATCTCCTCTCTACTGGCTGTCAGTGGCTTGTCAGAAGCCCGTCAAAGCCCCTGCAGTCCGTCACACACTGCTGCCGTTAATGACATCTGATGACACCCGTCGTTGAAGTCACCCACTAGAGATGACTGGGAACTCAGTGTGCTCCCTACTTGGAAATTGTTTCCTTTTGTCTAGTCTGCAGTGCCTTTTAGAATATGTCAGTACATTACTCTGCTGAGTTTATTTACAGGTCCTCACTTTTGGATGCAGCAATTGCAAATGTCTCAGCAGATGCCACTACCGATGTTTACAATAACAATTTTGCCGATGGAAGTGCTATACAGGGATGTGAACAGATGTCAAAACTCTATGAATGCCGGATTTTCTTTACCGATCGAGAAAAATCTCACTTAAACAGGGGGACAACCTGTAGCAATGTGCTGCTTCTGCAGCTGTATGGACTTTTAAGTTACCGTATATCGCCACAGTCAGTGTTGTAATCCTTAAAAAATTACAGAGGCCCTTCAAATCTTGTTCGCCAAATAAATGACGGGTAACACAAACTGCAACAGTCACATGAACGGATGACAATCGGCTTCAACCATCAACGCATGTCACCTTATTTGCGATGACAGAAAATAGGGCTACGATTGGCCGATGCACCGCTGCATTCTTACTTACTTCCTTCTACTCAATCTTAACACTTTTTACAGCGTTTGAATGAATGGTATCAGGAAATGCATATGAACAATTTAAACAAAAGGTCACAAACATAAAATATATTAAAAACCATATAAGAGTGGGAAGTATATAGGCAACTCATTAAAAAGTTGGTGACATGATTCTGATTTAACTTCAACAGATTCAAAGACAGGGAAAAAAAGTTGCATCAGCTTGTTTGTTTGCCCTTAAGAATAAAAAACTCACTGTTCCTGCCTTTTTAAAGGGTACATTATGTTGTTTTTGTGTGGCTCTGTGAAATGTTATAATGCTTAAAGTAGCCATGGAAAATGGTTGTGCCAAAGACAGTAATCATTTTGTTTCTCTATTACTCAGATTTGTATTTTCCACCCACATGCTCAGCTGCCTCCCTGGCTTTATCCCTATACTTTATTCTGTGCTGTAGTTTGTCAGCATCTTCATTCTTTTGTATTCCTCTCATTCATAACCCACCACCTTAACCTTTCTCATTGCTTCCACCCTCTCCCTTTTTAATGTATCCTCTTTCTGACCTGATGTTCTTCTTCTGCTTTGAGTGGTGGGCATACAACAAAGTCTCTTCTTTTATACTTTCCCCGTTTCCTACCTAGCTCTTTTAAAAATGTATTTGGCCTGTCCATCTCTCTCCCCAGCAGTGCTTATTTCTCACTCTCTCCGTCTGTTCTCCTTTGTCTTCTCTAGAGGAGGAAGTGGAAAACTTTGACGTGTCCAGTCTCCAGGAAGAGGCTCTGAGGAACATCGAAGCTGACAGCTTCTGGTGCATGAGCAAACTGCTGGACGGCATCCAGGTAAGCGTGTGTGTGTGTGTGTTCAAAAAGATCTAGGTTATCTCAGAACAAACTGATAAAAATGCCCTCGTATGGTTTTATACTTTTATACCAGCTTACTGTACATGCTCACTCTCCTACTGCCTGCCTTGTGGATTTAGTATACCTTTACATTTCTTTTTCTCTCTTCCAAGCTCTTTTAAAACTCAGTTTGGCATGGATCCCTGCTCCTCTGATCTAGTCTTAATGGATTTAAGTGGTCTTATCACTTCCACTTTGTTTACTTCACTTCTCCACCTGAGTGGCTCAGGTGATAACACGAGGGTGAGATCTCCTGACAAATTACTAATTGCTACTATTGCAATATTTTTGACCTTATTGCAAGTGCGATATAGGATGGATTCATATTTTTGTATCATTATTCTCATTATTATGTAAGTCAGAATAATGTATGGAGCATGGTGTACATAATATTGAGTGTGTTCCAGTAAAAAAGTGGCTGTATTTTTGAATACACCCCAATATACATATATATCAAATACATTTAATATATCGTAAGAATAGCATTTTTTATCTCAGTAACATAGATATATGTATGCCTTAAGTGCGTTAAAAGAGTGTGTGAATGCACATGTGGCTTGTCTTTTTATGTCTTTACTTATAAGCTTAATTTCCTTCTTTGTTATTGTAAATCCACTATTATTAAGGAATATTTTACAAGATACGTTTTGAGACATTTTACTGGCATGATTCACTTTCAAACCATAAATGTCAGAACTAGTTTTAAGTATAGATAATGGATTTTATTCAGTGTAAACGGTTAGGGTCGTCTGGCTTTCCTGTCTGTTTTAAAGCCAACAGGACGTCTCTTACACTGAGCGTTTGTATGCATTGGCTTTTCTTGTGTGGGTTTAAGAAATGTGATTGTCTTGCATGTTCTAAAGCAGGTCTGGGAGTCTCGTGAGCAGATAATTGCACACAGACCGGCGCACCAAGCTTCATTATGTTTCATCATGTCTTAGCCCAAACCCTTTTGCCCAGCAGCTCTCTTAATCGACCTCGCTCTCAGCGGTCATGGTTGAGCCATCTGTCAATTCTTAACGTGCCTGCCTGGGCTTCCGGATACATTTGCACCTCGACTCACCGTCCTCAATTCGGCCTTGGTCTTAAAATCAGTTTTTAACCACATGCTGGATTAAAGCACAACTTCTTTTAGATGCTATTTGCGCTGTCAGGAAATGCAAGAAACGTTGTACCTCAGCAAAAAACATAAACCTTTTGCCAAATTTTTGTAGTTTTTGACATTAACGACTTTCAATAAGTGGGGGCGGTGGTGGTGAAGTCGATAGGGACTTGGCTTGGCAACTGGAAGGTCACCAGTTCGAGTCCTGGCAAGACCAAGTGCTACCGAGGTGTCCCTGAGCAAGGCACCGTTCCCTACACTGCTCCCCCGGCGCCGTCCACGGCAGTACACTGCTCCTAACACTAGGATGGGTCAAATGCAGAGGAACAATTTCGTTACATAGTACCTGTACTGTGAAATGACAATAAGAGCAATTTATTTATTTATTAAAAAACTGTGAAGATTCAAACTCGAAAAAGGAAAAGTTCAGATATATTTACTTCAAATTAGCCAAAAATAGGTGGGTTTTCAGTTTGCTACGGTCCATGTTTGTACTTTTTGCTGTCCTGATATCAGTGGGAAGCTTGTTCCACCATTTTGGAGCCATAATAGCAAACAGGCATGTGTGTTCCTGGGTCCACCTCGCAGTGAGGAAGTAACAAGCCTATTGGCTGATGCAGAGAGAAGTGCACATGTAAGATTTCACCATGTCCTGGATGTAAGAAGGACCAGATCCCTTCACAGCACGGTAGGCCAGTACCAGTGTCTATAAGCGGATTTGGGCAGCCACTGGCAGCCAGTGAAGGGAGTGAAGGAGCAGTGTATTGTGGGAGAAATTTCCTCCTGATGTTGTAGAGAGTGTTTCTTCAGCAGCCGGACTTAACGTTATTAAGAGAGGTCTGTTTGGTTCAAATCGTAATAGCCTGGGTGTTGGTCGTTGTCATAGCTACTCTATTCATTGGTTTCTGGCACAGTAAAAAAAGCATCTGCCAAGTCCCCCACAGTTAGGTCAATGACCCTCATCTAAAATAACACTTAAGAGAATGGCCGCTGCAGTTAGTCTTTAAATGTATTGATTAGGACATATGCTTATTGTTGGATGGAAATAAGTATTTTAGGGCCAAAAAAACGATATCTTAATGGCACATTTTATTGAGAAGAGAAGGCTTGTTTTAAAATGTACATATCATATACATTTGTTCAATAAAATAAACTTAATATTGTGAAACTCAATATATATGGCCCCGTCCTACATTAGAGCTAATGAATAGTATGGAGCATGTGTTGTGCATAAAAAGTGATCATCCATAAATAACTATCAATTGTTCGGCTATTCATTAAGGAAATTAATAGACGCTGTGCCTTGTTGCCCCTGAGAGAGCGAGACGGAGAGAAGCTTGAGAGCAGGGAAAGTAAAGGAGAATAATAGAGTGTGTGTGTGTCTTGTGTGTGTACGGCGTGTTGTTTGTCCCCACGCTTGAGTTTGTTTGTGACCTTGGCTCCAAACTAATTACGTGCAATGCACCAGGGAAGCCCATGTTTCCCCCCTAATGCTTTCTAAACAATCTGACGCAGGCCGAGTGCCTCAGCACCATAATTAGTCGCTGATCCCAGCTCTGACCTCGTCTCAAACCCTCTCACATCCACTATACACTATTACACTTAACTGAGGGCCCGGAGGTGGGGGGTCTGGGGGGGTTAGAGAAAAAGAGAGTCTGCCCATGCAATTACATTTGCTCACTCCATTATGAGCGCCATGTAATATCCGTTATCCACTTGTTTTGGACGAATTTGCATGAAATATTGAAACACACTGGTTGGAAAACGTTGTGAAGAAAAGCATTCTCACATCCATCCATGAAACACAGCTGGTGTATAATTACCAGGTGGACAGTGGAAAACACTTTTGAAAGTTTTCCTTTATTTTGAATACAGTTAATTGGCCATTAGCTTTGGTTTTTAGTGTCTCACTGCCATGCCTCTCTTCCACCTAAAAGTGAACGGGGCTATTTTGGCTGTCAATTCACTTAAGCAGCTTCTCTAATGAGCAGATGCTTTAATTGGCAGCACCCTCCTCCAATGGGGGCAGGCGGGGATACGTATGTTAATACAAATCCGTAGATACCAAGCGAGTCAGAATGAGAACAACCTATACAAAATGTCTTTCTGTAGGCGGTATTTCCTTGTTAATCTTCACGCGTCATAAGCACATACATGTCAGGAATGCTTCGAACAAGCCCTTTAATGGCTAGAGTGTGCAGAGCAACATTTCTATGTGTGTATTATTGATTCAATTGTCTATGCTGACATCCACTCTACACATCCTACATCAGAATCGCTTTAGCAGACTGTGAGTGACAGTTTCAGGGATGAATGAGTGAAGACAGCCATTCTCTTGTCCTCGCATGACCTGGAAGGCACTGCTAAATAGACACGCACTGTTGTGTGTGTGTGTGTTCTCAACAACATCAACAAGATAACAGCACACAGCCCTCGACACCCCATTTACACATCAAACAGGCTGCCACACTGAGTCTGATGATCAAAAAACAAGGCTGAACTACTGCTCTGGAAATGCCAACATTAGTAATGTTCAAATAGGCCAGTGTTTATTATTGTGTATGATTACCCAGCCATGTGATCCATTTAGTGCTTTTCTTCTTTTATACCAATGCATAAACTACCATCTTAGAGTCACGGTGAATTTGAAAGGGCAACTAAACATAAGATACAGTAAGAAGGCGAAACAGGAAATGGCTCGTCTACAAATCAATAAATCTTCCCATTTGCAACACACCTCTGCTAATTTGACCTTAATGTAACCCCAGTCTCTCCGACAGATCATTAGTCTTTTACAGAGCTAAATTGAATAGCGCCTCTGGCTAACATCACTATTTTAACTTGTAAAAATGGTTCAGTTTTTGCCGCTTCACTGAATGAAAATGGAGCTGCCCATTATCAGGCTGTTGATTTAAACATGTCTTGTTAATTCCAAAATATATTAGTAACCTTGACTGTAAAATGTTGGCTTTGACTGACTTGTTTTTTACCGATATAGAAGCATATATAACTTGAAACGCTCATAACTGCCATTCTCAGTATGTGGAGTTATGTGCTGCCAATGAGCCACTGTCTCACCTGCCATGCCCAGCGAGGGAAATAAAGTCAAAAAGTTTAAGAAGTCCATTATTCCGCCAGCACCACCCCTGAGGGGGCTCAATTTTACAGCCAGTAGATGAAAACCTACTTTTTATGTTAATTCTGCAGATATTCCTTTTACAGCCGGGGCTCTTAAATATATTTTCAATTCCAAGACCCTTATTGGAGAAATGTAATTTCTGCCATGGATCTGAACTTATATATCAATGGCAGACTTGACAAATGAGGGTCCAACAGGGAAATGTCTCTGACCCTTTTTGGGGTTTTGGTGTAGGAGTCTGTTCCCGAAATTGTTCTAAAATGTTTATTATTTATCAGATGCAGTTTTGGTTTTTATATTCTACCTCAATCGTATTGGTAGCTACAGATTGGAGAATATGAAGTATCTTTGTATTCATTCAGTTTTTTTCCAAACACATTTTGGCTGAAACATTTGAACAGGTGACATAGCAAGTATAATATGTGGCAGGTTCTCCACAGTACTGATGTTTACTGATGTACCAGAGGCTTAAAACATTAGCGTAGCATCTTTATATCTAACGTCTGTCCTGTTAATCCTTCTGCTGTCAAGTCATTTAAAAAAAGAAAAGAAGAAAGGGCAATTTATTAAAAAACACAAATAATAGATGGTCAACAGCTCCCTCTCCTGCTGCTCTGTCGGAGCTATCTCCCCCCCCCCCCCGTTTGAGCACAAGCTAATCGGAGTGAGCTTGCTCATCGTCAAGGTAACCATCTGTTT